AGGAATTAGGGGAACGTCAGACACTAGCAGGGTTTCTTACACACACATGGAGCAAAGAACATGCTCCAGTTCAAGAAACGGTACTTTATAATACAGGCATCTGTCCAATGACCGGCAACTGGTACAAGTAGGAGTTACCAACATGAGAGGTATTGGATTAGCCATTGGCACCTGCTTCCAGGAACACAGCAGAGGAAAGGAAAAAGGAATTAAGACTTTTGAGGTTCTATAATGTTGGGGAGTTTGACCAATCTCATTGGGGATTTTTTCTGCTCTGCCATTATTACCATTACCTTCTAACTCTTGAGCCTTCCCAGCCCTCTCTAGCACCACTTCTGAGCCCAAGTATTGTCAGCACTTGCACTTCTGGGACTGCCTGTCTCTTTTCCATCCTTAAGTGTCTGGTCTCTTAAGTTCTCTTCTCACCACCTTCCCAGCTTTTGTAGGCCCATATCCTCACAAACTCAGAATTCCTCTTTGTCATGTGTTTTCCTTTTATCTTAGCAGCCAAGCACTTAGCTCTATTCACTCACATCTATCAATTAACACTTTTTGCCCTATGACCTACAGCCTTCATTTAACTGAATCCCATACTTCTATGCCATTTACTTTTCTGAGGGAATACTTTCAAATACTTTACTTACCTTTTATTACCTCTTTTCCCTAATGATTGACAATACTAGATTTGCCATTTTAAAAATCTTCCAAGGCAAAATTTTCAGCAACTGTATGTCATAAAATAAATAACTTACATTGGCAATTTTATATATTTTACTTTGAGAATACTAAAAATATGGTTTTCCACTGTTTTACTAAAGCATAAATTAGAAAACATGCATAAAACAGTATGTAGAAATGTAGACCCTGTGTCTTTTTCAGAACTGAGTATTCCATATCAACACCCATATTATCATGTAGTAAACTCTTAGGACTGCCTTGAAGGCCATGCCGTGTCTTCAGCCCGAACAGTGAACCACGTGGGTGGGCTAGTGTTACCGTATGGAAGAGAAAGGAGGGCTGGTCCTTGGTTGCTCTTTTTATTTGTCCGTTTCATTTGTCTGTTTGCTTTAATTATTTTCTTTTTTAAAAATATTTTATTATTTATTTATCTTTAGAGGGGAAGGGGGGTAAGGAGAGAGGGAGAGAAACATCAATGTATGGTTGCCTTTTGTGCGTCCCCTGCTGGGAACTGGCCTGCAGGGAACCTGCCTGCAACCCAGGCTTGTGCCCTGACTGGGAATCGAACCGCGATCATGTGGTTCGCAGGCCCGTGCTCAATCCACTGAGCTACACCAGCCAGGGCTAATTATTTTCTTATTGCCAATACCTTTGTGTTCATTTTGGGAAAAACAAAATAGAAAGAAGTAACATTTTAAAAAAGCATAATTACCAACCAGAAAAAAATAAAACTACTTGTAGGACACTGTTCACAGTGAACCCTTCTGGATCTTTTGCTATGTGTATTTATATTTTTCCCACTTTCTCAACAGACAAGTTATTTTTCTTCATATTCCCTTTATTTCTCATGCAGGTGACTGGTAGATCATGTCATGAATCTGGGTTTCCCGATCCTCCTCAGTTTAGCAAAAGATGTCTTTGTTTTTTTATATAAAATTTTTTTCTATTTGCACCACTGAGTGTCCTCTAGCATTTGAATTTGTCTCTGTGTCCCCCTCGCATCAGGGTATTTGGTTTGTGTGACAGGTAAAACTAAGCTGCAGATACGAGTATCTGCTTCCTCTCACCCTTTTCTCCTATCGAGAACGTATTTTATTCAATAAATATTTACAACAGCATTTTAAAAGGTACATTCTATTTTATTGATGAACATAACTTATTCAGATACCCTCTATTGTTAGACATTTATAGGGTTTTCCCCTTGTGTGTGTATGTTCTGCTATTGTAATCAATTCTCAATAAATATCATTCTTGCTAGATCTGTGCACTTTGCCACGTTTTTCCTCAGGATAATTCCTAAAAGTAGAATCAATAGGTTAAAAGGTAGGCTTGTTTTTTTTTTTTTAAGGCCTTTGGTAAATATTGCTAAATTGCCCTTCAGAAATCTATCACTGAGACCACAAGCAGCATTAGAAATGTATTATCAATATATTGCCAGACCCTTACAAATACTGTTCTTTAAAGTAATTGATAATGTAATGGGTCTTTGCTTTCTTAACCACAATGGGCATTCCAAATAATCACCCCTGTTTGTGGAGTCTTTATGACAGATATTCCATAGAGCCCCAGTTCTTTAAAGGTTTGGTTGGCAGCTTGTTTGCTTGCAACGTTGTTTGCTTGTAGTTTCAGGCGATGCCAGTGAGGAGAGTGAAGGCAACAAACAGTGAGAGCCTCACATCACTCTCCGTCCCCTCAGCATGATGCCCCAGGGCAACGATTTATAAACTCATCCCCTGGTGATTTTAAAGTTGCAGGGAGATGAAAAGTAGATTCATCTTACAAAAAATTTAATAACATTTTTCGGTAGATAATGCATTATTCAAGTTGCTAGGTGGAAGAAAAGTGTATTTCTTTAAAACCAAATAGTAATGAAAATATTCATCTACACACTGATTTCTGCTTCCACTTATTATTTTATTGTGTCCTGCTTGATTTTTGGCCAGGTTATTTTTGCCCTTTATATCCAACCATGAAAATTAAAATGCACAAATCACAAGGTACAATAAGCCACATTGTTTGGGGACGTCTTTGACTTCCTTGGTGTATAATAGATTAGGTCGAGGAGGGTACAAAATACATGTTTGGGGTAAGGATTCTTGTATAACAGGAGCACTAGGGTACTGTCACTATCTGGACATAGGTGATTGTTTTCAAAGCCTTAGTCTCAACCAGACTTTGATTTTCCCATCAGCATGGGTTCCTACACTGTGCCATTTTTTCTCTGATGGCAGTGCACTGTGAAAAGCTTGTATTGCATTTCTGTGTTTATTTGCACTGAGTCCCTGGAACAAGAGGTATCTAGAGGAGCAAAGCATTTAATTTTTAAATGGGACCTCACAGATATTCCGGTTCAAGATGTTTAGTAGATGCTTATCAGATGATGGTGGTGGTGGCGGTGGTAATAATATGAAAGAGGAAGAGAATAACTTTTGCAGCTTTTATGTGTCTGGCATTCTGCTTAGTGCTTTACTTACGTTTTCTAACTTATTGAACAAGGAAAGTAAGTTCTAGAATGGGAAACAACTCTTAAGATGAGTCAGTAAAGCCAAAGAACAAACCCAGAATTCCTGACTCTTAGTGTGGCCTGTTCTCCATTATATAATGTTGGGTGGCCATATGAAAACCCTTTTAGACATTTTAAACTCAAAATTTTTGATATAAATTTGTAATTACAAATGTGTATTGATGCTGTTAAGTATTTATATAATGCATGTTGAGGGGCTTTAACCTTATTTTATCTATTGTCCATATTCCTTGATAAGAATCATTATAATTTCCATTTATTGATTTTTTACTTCAGACATATGACCTCTATTCTTAAAAATAAAATATTCTAATTTTATAAATTAGAGGAACCTGGGTCTCAGAGTAGAGCAGTTAACTCTTTTAGAGGAAGTTAGTTAAGTGGCAGCAAATTTGGGCTTCAAGCCCAAGTCTGTTCACCTGCAGAACCTGAATAGCAAAATCAAACATGCTCAGAAATTATCGATTTGGGGTTTATAGAACCATACGGCCTGTTTTCTCTGGTTGCACTCTCTCCCTCTTTCTCTCAGCCTATTCTTATTTCTCCTTGAAACTAACGTAAAGGATAACATACTTTACTGTGCTTTTTGAATATCACACTGAGCCTTTTGCCTCTTAAATACTTAAAGAAAATGTGCACACAATAAAATTAACAAGTTGTCCTATCCTTTTAGCAGATTCTACTCTAGGATAGAGGAAACAATTTTTTTTTTCACTAATACCAAGAAATTGAATTAAAGATAAGCACTCACCTCCACGGATCTATTTTCTTATTCTTATCTTGTAAATGAAGTATAAATATGCATCTGCGTGTTTTTATCTCTATAATTATGTGTTACATAGTCAGATTTATTAGAATCACGTTAAAGCAGAAACTATGACTTTCAAAAATTGGTGCCGTATTCATGAGTCTTCCTGTTTTTGCACATGAGGCTGCTTCTGTCACAGTCGTCCAGGTTTGGGGGGCCAGCAAAGTAGCCGCTTACTCAGCTTCCCACCACAGGTCAATAACCACAGAAAACCAGGGTCCCTTCTCTAATTACTCCCCTTCACAGTGTTACACTAACAGATCGTAAAGCAGCTCACGTGCTTCATTGATGCACTGATTGCTTCCTGACCATTGTCTGGAAAACTGATAATTTTTCTTTCTATCAAAGGAATTCAAGAAGAAAATCTCCTTTTGGGGCATATACTTATATCAATAAATATGAAATCACATACAATGAAATAAATTATTTTTAATTCAAAACTAATAAAAACATTGATCCCTGTTAGAAAATTTAGCTACTATGAGATAAACCTTATTAGATTTTTGATAAAGTGAAAAGTTATTTTAAAAGGCCACTTTTAGCTATGGATGCTATAATTTTTGCCATTTTTTGGAAAATATTCCCACTTATCTAATTTCTTTTGAAGGTGGTAGTGAATCGAACCGGAAAAAAACTGCTTTTGGAAACTTCCGTGTGCTGTCCAGCTGCTTCAGAGCATATTCGCATTTGCAGGACAGCATGTTCTCTTAAATGAGCCCATTGGTTTTTCATGAATTGTTTTCTATGCAAGGTAGTGTCTTCTCCAGCCCCAGAAGTGAAATCATATATCTGATTCTCCATAGTTGTGTTAAGGTTTGTCCTGAACCCTAAGGCCCATTCAAGAGCATAGTATTTGATACATTTTAATTCTAAAAATATGTCCCATAAATGACATCATTAAATTCCATTTCAGATGTTTCATCTAAAATACCTTTTCTGTCTTTTCCTTTTTACTCTTGTCTTCACTTTTAACGATCCATCGGCCTACAGTGTCTTTACATCCAAAATGCAAAGCAGACAAATGGGCATCTCAGGGAAGAACATGACCAAAAGCACCAGCATCAGCGGAGACATGTGCTCGCTGGAGAAGAACGACGGCAGCCAATCGGACACTGCGGTGGGCGCCTTGGGTACCAGCTGCCAAAAGCGGCGCTCCAGCATCGGGGCCAAAATGGTAGCTATCGTGGGGCTCTCGCGGAAGAGTCGCAGCGCTTCTCAGCTCAGCCAAACGGGTAGGCGTTTTTACGTTACTTTCGACTTTATCTTTGAGTTGTAATTAAAGTACGCGTTCTTTTTTACTCATTTTATTGCAGTAACGTGGATGATGACTTGCTTCAGAGGGGAAGGGTCGCTTTAAACTACTCAACTTCTCTGAAAATATAACGACTTTGTTTTTCAGTGATGAACGGACCTGCTTTAAAGTAGACCTTGGCCACTGCTCTTGTAATGTATTTAAAGTCTTTCTTCCTCAGGGCGGAGTTAAGCTCTGTTTTCCCTGATTGCCGGTCGCTGATCCTTTCTGGAGATAGTCTGACCTGTGAGACACTTGCTTTTCTGTGTAGCTTTCTCACGTTGGAACCAGACAAATTAATTCTCATTCCCAGCAAGTTATGGTGATGAAGATGACATCTCATATTTTGTGTGAATTATATATTTGTATCGCCGACAACCTAACTTCTTTTTCAGTCTGTAAGCAGCACTTACTGTAGTGTCAATTTTCTCACTGCAGTTTTATTTCCCTGGTTAAACTTCAAGCAACGATATTCTCCAGCAGCAGGGATGGAGGAGTTTCCTGCTGGCAGTGAAGATAGTCAAAGCCTTGCTAATTTAAAATTCAGTCGTGAAATCACATCTGCAAAAAATAAATTAGATACACTCCTACTCAGAAAAGCCACTGTTAGCAATTAAGAAATCTGTGAGTCAAAGCAGTGTCGTTTTTCAAATGGGTGTTGGTAGTTAAACATTACATCCCTGGTATCTTGGAAATAATAGTATATCTTCTACTTAACAAACAAAAGCATATAATATGGTGTTTCTCTTACAGGAAATAAATTACAGGCAAATGGATTAAATCTTGTTTATGTTTGAACACTAGGGTTCTTGTATACAAAAGTCAATACTTAAATGTGCAAAACAGAAGAATTTAAACATACGTTATTTCTTGGACCCGACTAATCTTGATTTTACAAACTAGCAGTGATTTTGGAATTTAATGTTATATCGCAGTATAACAATGATATTATATTGAAATAGTTATTTGATGGCGTTCCTTATAACCTGGCTGTACCTCGCTATTTTTAATGTGATTGTTATAGGAAGTTTTCATTCGGTGTTTCCAGATGTTATTTTGCATTTTAATATAGAAATAGAAATTTAACATATGAACATAAAGCTTATATTTAAATGATTTTTACTTTCCGATATTTATACATAACTAACTTGGATGTGCTGATATGATAAATGTTAGCCTTTAGACTTTTTTTATATTTCTCTGGCAGTTAGAACTTAATTTATTGCATTTTTCTCTTTAAAACTTATAAACATCTATAACCCAAAAACTGCTCTACAAAATAAAGTCTGTTAATTAAAAAAATAAGAATCTAAAAAAATTAGTAAGATTACAAGTAAGATAATATGTGGTGTTAAACTAAAGGATTCCATTCATTCAGGGTTTTTATTTTATTTATTTATTTTTAAGATTTTATTTATTTATCTTTAGAGGGGAAGGGAAGGAGAGAGGGAGAGAAACATCAATGTATGGTTGCCTTTCATGCGTCCCCTGCTGGGAACTGGCCTGCAACCCAGGCATGTGCCCTGACTGGGAATCGAACCTCCATTGCCTGGTTCAAAGGCCCGTGCTCAATCCACTGAGCTACACGAGCCAGGGCTCATTCAGGGTTTTTAAACAAATGCTGAGTACTTAACTATGTACCGTACCAGGAACATGGAGAACAAAGATGAATAAGAAATATATAACTTGAGTTGTTTATCATCTCTTGAGCTACTTATAATCTGGTAGAAGATAGGTACTTAAACAGGTTGCTTCCAGATAACATGGCAGTGGTCACACTGCAATTGCCTAGAAAGTGTGCTGGTGCCCAGAGGAAGTCCACTTGATCCATTCTGGAATTCCGGGAATAAGTGTGTGGGGGAGATTATATCTGATTTAAGATGTGAAAGGAGAGTGATGGTTACCCAAGTACCATACAATTTTAAAGGTGTTCCAGATAGAAACCATGAAAAACTATAGTGAACAAAGGCATGCAGGCCTGATACGTACAGGAATGACAGAGAGTTGGATGATTTTACCATGAAATATTGGACTGAATGTAGCTGGAGACGAGGCTGGTAGATAAGTGAGAACAGATCATAGAGAGTCCTGACAATCATATTAACTTAGGTTATTGGAAATTTTTAAAAGTTTTCAGTAGAGGGTTGACATGGTCAGATTTGCACAATTTGTAGGACATAATTTGTAGGACATTCGGGCTGCCATTTATTTATCTGACAACTATTTTTAAAGCTTCTACCATATGCTAGGAATTATCCTAAAGAAAACATGAACAAGAAAACAGATTTTGCTCTTCGAGCTTACATTCTAGTGGAGCTCCAACAAAGAAAATACACTCAAGTCAGCACCTGGTAAAGAGTATTTTAGAATGAATTAGCAAAGCAGTACAATAATTCAGATGAGAGAAAAGAGCCTGGATAAATTTGAATTAAGTCAGTTGTAATAAAGATAGAGACAGGTGGTAGTTTCAAAGAAATTTTAAAGAGCAAAATTATCAATAGTAGTCAGCCATTCGATTTAGTGACTTTTTGGATATGGGGAGGTAGAGAGGATGCTAAGACAATTTTGATGTTTCTGGCGTGCATCGCTGGGTCGATGGTCATAGTGCTCTCAGTGGCTATTGAAAGTATAAAAGAAGGAGTGGGTTGGGGAGAGGGAGAGGGATGAGTCCTGAACTGATGGAGGAGACCAGGAGGGAAGGGTAAAAGCAATGACTACTGTCACAGAAGCTGAGAGTGCAGATTTCAAGAAGAGAATGGTCAGTTTTCTTGGTTCAAGAAGAACCGTGTTCATGTTTTTATAGTCTGGGTGTAAATATCTCATATATATTTCCTTGGCAGTATTTCTTTTTGAAAAAGTATATATTGGCTGACCATACACAGAGATTAGACATCAACAATGATTTAGCATTTATGTATTAGTGGTTACAGGTTTTTAATCTTCAAAAACATTGTGATGTTGGCAGATTTAAGAAATGTAGTCTTGTTCCTTATTATAGCATATAAGTAGCTTCTTTCCATATGTAGTATAGCAGAAAATAAATATTCTTATTGTCATTTTCATTATTATTTGTCATTTTCAGTAACATTATAATGACTAAGATTTTAATCATTCTTAAAATGTGCAGTTATTTTTACCTATCCACCTAATAGCTTTGCTTATTGGCAGTAGAATTCAGAATATCTCACATTTTCTAGTTTATATTTACCTATAGAATAGCCAACAGATTTCTTTGCAATAACTGGACTCTGAACTTGCAATGGGTCCCTAAATTCTCTATGTGTGTGTATGTGTGTATGTCTTATGTAAGATTTTTATGTTTCCCTTTCTTTAAAAAATATTTTATTTATTTATTTTTAGAGAGAGGAAGGGACAGAGAAGAGAGAGAAATATCAAGGTTTGGTTGCCTCCTGTGCATCCCCCCACCCCGTTCATTGGGAACCTGGCCTGCAGCCCAGGCTTGTGCCCTGTTTGGGAATCAAATTGGTGACCCTTTGATTCGCAGGCCGGCACTCAATCCACTGAGCCATACCAGCCAGGGCTGTGTTTTCCTTTCTTAAGAAACAAATTACAATCAAGCTCCAACCATCTCTAAAACTGAAATCTTCCAATTTAATCTCTATACTATTTGATATATGATGGCATTCACAACAATGTTGTGAAGCAGGAATTAATTACTATTTTCCTCATTTACCAATGAGGACACCAGAGAAGAGGGGGACTGCCTTCCCCAGTTCACCGAACCGGAAGGGTAGAAGTTGAGATTCTGATCTGGGCAGTGCAGATCTGGGGAAGATTTCACTCTACATGGGTCTGTTAGAGTTTAGACCAGCACTGTCGGGGGAACTTTGGGCCACGGCAGCGCTCTCTCTCCTGCTGTGCAGTACGGAGTGGCCGCACCGGCCACGTGCTGCTGTGGAGCACTCCAGATGTGGCTAGTGTGAGTAAGTACCTGAATTTTTGAGTTTTTAAAACACTTTTCACTAAGTGAATTTAAATTTTAAAAGGCACATATTACTAGTGACTACTGTGTTCAGCAGTACAGATAAAAACAACTCTTTCTGGGATTTTTGATTAAAAAATTAAATAAAGGGATAAGATCGTAGCTTGGGGGAGATAGAATCTAAGAAGAGTTTTGGTTTCTTAATGAGATGGGGGATACTTGTGGGACCTGAACAGGTGGAAGAGCTTTGGCTTCAGTGCAGATCGGCTATTATGACCTGTGCTCACTCAGGAATCTGTGCTCTTTTCATCTTATAATAATTTCTGAACTCTCACAGGACTTTACATGGACTCTCATTATAACATTTACTTATTTGTGTATATCCCGGCTAGACTCCTTTTTTATTTCATATATCCTTCTCGGTATCTGGTATACTTTCAGATACAGTCATCTAAAATGAAAGGCCCATGTACTCCATGGGGCACATTGTTAAATTCCCTGCGGAATGGGAATGATCGTTTCTAACACTGATGCCAGGATAACAGCTGGTCTGAGCCTGGAGTTGCGGATAATGTTTACGTGGTGGGGACACTGGAGTAGGCATGGACGTTTCAGACACAAGCAGCGTTAGACTCAGAGACACGGAAATGCGGTTTACGTGCAAGCAGACAAGAGAGTATTTGACACATGGTGGGAGATGAGACTGGCAATAGAGGTCTGGGCCAGATTGCAAATAACTTAATGTCGGGCCAAGTAGTTAGAACCACAGTGTTGGCAAGAGGGAGGGAGCTATTGCATGATTTGGAACAGGGTCATGACAATCAAAGCTAGAAAGATTCTGTCAATAAGGAAGTCTAGAGTTCAAGAATAAGAGAATTTTATCTGTTTAGAGCAGAGTTGATGAGGGGCTGATCAATGGGTATTAGTTTTTCATTGCTGCCATAGGAAATTACTACAAACTTCATAACTTAAAACCAATTCACCCTTCTGTCTGGTGA